CTTGGGAGGCGGAGGCAGGAGACTCGCTTGAGCCCAGGAGTTGGAGGTTGCTGTGAGCTGTGATGCCATGGCAGTCTAACCAGGGGAATAGCTTGAGGCTCTGTCTCAAACAAACAAACAAAAAAAAAGGGCTGACATTGAAGGAAAAGAATGACCTTTTACATGTTTCTGGAAAACAGTAGCCAAAGAAAGAAGAATAAACACTGTGGTGTCAACAAGACCACAGTTAGCAACATCTAAAAATGTAAACATAAGCACTTGGAGAAATATGGCAAGGAAAGCAGACATCTACATCAGAAAAGGAAGACGACTTCTTTCAATCAAGTCAAGGAAGCCACATTAAACTGGTTCAAAAATATGAGGGCAGTTAACTCCTGAATCTCTGGGCAAAAAATTTGCACAGGAATTTGGGATGAAAGGCATCCAGGCTCAAGAGGTTGAGTTGAGAAATTTAAAATGTGACACGTGATCTTCCAGGAAGTCTTCTGTGTTAAATCCAATGAAGTTCCAGTAGAGGTTGTGGAAGACTTCATCAGAAAGTTCTCAGACTTCACCAGAGGCTTCAAACATGGTGACATCTTTCACACTGATGAGTGCAGACTCTTTTTCAAGGCAATTCCTGACAGGAGCTTCATCATGAAGGGTGACAAATGTTAAGAGCAGAAAACAGTTCTGCCTTATGCTAGCTCAACCAGAGAGAAGCTAAAGCCCTTAGTGACTGGCAAATCTATAAAGCCACATGCATTCAAGCCCAAATATCTCCCCATCACTTGGAGATCAAACAAATGCTTATTGATGACTGGTATCCTCCTCTATTTGAGGAGTGGGTAAGAGGTATCAACCAAGAAATGAAAAAGAAATGGTCTATTCTATTGATAGTAGACACTATCCTGGCTACCTGCAAGTGAATAGACTCACAAATGTGACACCGAAATTTCTGCCTCTAGACGCAACCTCAGAAATCCAATCTCTTAACCAAGACAACATGAAAACGTTTAAAATGTACTATCAAGCCCAACTCCTGCAGTGGGTCACCACTAAAACACAAACCTGTGGTCGCCTGTGAAAGCAACTTCATCTACTGCATCAGTTAACACTCTGGATCAGGGGTCCTCAAACTTTTTAAACAGGAGGCCAGTTCACTGTCCCTCAGACCACTGGAGGGCCAGACTGCGGGCCCCAGGACAAGTCGGCTGCTAAGCAGGACAGGCAGCGGCAGCAAAAACACCTGGCAGGACGGATAAATGTCCTAGGCAGGCTACATGTGACCCGTGGGCTGTAGTTTGAGGACGTTGCTCTGGATGTTGTCCTCTGGGTTAGTTCTGCTTAGAATAAAGTTCAGCCATAAACAGTAGAGAGCACAATGTTTGGGCGCCATTAGATAGTCCAACTCCCATGACAAATCTCAAAGGAATAAGTTTTAGACATTTTGTTGCAATGGATGATGAGATGGTAACCTGTAATGAACTTGACCCAAAAGCAATTTTCCAAGGGATATTGACTGAAGTACAGACCAGAATAAAAGTGCATGAAACAGCTGATGAAGTGAAAGAAACAAGAGAGGATGACACAGAAACTGCAGAAACTCCAAAAGAGGAAGATAATCAGTCATCTGATAATGCAGCTAGAGTCACCGGCTGCAGAAAAATGCAGGTATTCTGAGCAGTGACCCAGCACTGAGAAAGCTTTCTCTACTTACATTTGCAGTAAGAGTAAGAAACAGATTAAGATTGTCCCTTTTCTCAGAATGAATAAACCAAAAGAAAATAACAAATGTATTAATTTTGTATGATACTGTGTATATGATTTTACTGTTTTGATTTTACTGTATGATTCTGTATGATAGTCTCTAATAAAGGCCATACAATAAAGTAAATTACATATCAGTACAGTAGGCCTCATTCATTATGTTGACCACCTCCATATATTGACCAGTTTGTTACAATTCTTGGGGTTGTCAACTTAAAGAGGTTCTATTATAATTAGGAGATAAATGCAGGCAATTGACATATAAAAATAATTGCAAATGAGCGATACAAACAGGTCTAATAACACTGATACTTGGCTCGGCGCCTATAGCTCAACCGGCTAAGGCACCAGCCACGTACACCTAAGGTGGCGGGTTCGAATCCCCAGCCCGGACCCGCCAAACAACAATGACGGCTGCAACCAAAAAATGGCCGGGCGTTGTGGCGGGCGCCTGTGGTCCCAGCTACTTGGGAGGTGGAGGCAGGAGACTCGCTTGAGCCCAGGAGTTGGAGGTTGCTGTGAGCTGTAATGCCACGGCTCTCTACCCAGGGGGACGGCTTGAGGCTCTGTCTCAAAAAAAAAAAAAAAAAAAAAAAAAAAACACTGATACTCTTTGAAATGCAAATTAAAATAATCAGATACTTTTTTATTTAGCAAAGACTGAATGTGTCCTGTGTTGGTTCTAGGGGGGAACACATCTTTTTGAGAAAGAGCCTCAAGCTGTCGCCCTGGGTAAAGTGCCATGGCAACACAGCTCACAGCAACCTCCAACTCCTGGGCTCAAGTGAGTCTCCTGCCTCAGCCTCCCAAGTAGCTGGGACTACAGGCGCCCACCACAACGCCCAGCTATTTTTTGGTTGCAGCTGTCATTGTTTGGCAGGTCTGGGCTGGATTCGAACCCGCCAGCTCAGGTGTATGTGGCTGGTGCTTTAGTCAGTTGAGCCACAGGCGCCGAGCCAGGAACATAACTCTTGTTTATGTCAATTGCCCATAGCAAAACTTAAAGCTATAGTTTCTAAGCACCTAGCAATGACACTAACTGAAGACTTACAGTGTTTGGGAAATTAAAGAGATTACTTAGTGAAAAGAATCATTCTCACCTTTGTATGTTTCACTTATGTCAGGATGCAGACTGAACGCAGATCCAAGAGATGTGTCTTCATCAAAGAGTAAACTTTCAAATACCAAAAAAAGAAGGCAAAAACTATTATCATGTTTCTTAAAGACTAACATTTTAACTCATTTTTACACCTAAAATTAATGAAAGTTTTAGTTACACCACCACTAATATTTCTATTCCAAAGTGTTATTTCAGAAATGTACACTTTAATTAAAAACTTGTCCAAGATGAAAAATAAAGACTCATGCATATGGTCATGCTCATTTTTACAAATATTCTGCTATAATTTTTGAATATTTGGGGGTAAAGGATAAATATCACTACAGGTTTTAAACAGAGATGAAATGAGGCAAGTGTTTGAAGGGCTAATAGTGGTGGTTTTTTCCTTCACATTTCTAACACAGAGAACCTGAGATTAAAACCCCAGTGTTAAATCTGAGTGTATATTTTCATAATATGTGGTAACAAAATTCCTTTAATTTTTGGATTTTTTTTTTCAACTGAGACAGAGTCTCACTTTGTCATCCTCAGTAGAATGCCGTTGTGTCATAGATCACAGCAACCTCCAACTCTTGGACTCAAGTGATTATTTGCCTTAGCCTCCCTAGTAGCTAGGACTATAGGCACCTGCCACAATGCCCAGCTTTTTGTTGTTTAGCAGGCCCAGGCTGGGTTTGAACCCTAGCCTCCCTAGTAGCTAGGGTTTGAACCCTAGCCTCCCTAGTAGCTAGGACTATAGGCACCTGCCACAATGCCCAGCTTTTTGTTGTTTAGCAGGCCCAGGCTGGGTTTGAACCCACCAGCCCCGGAGCATGTGGCCAGTGCCCTAACCACTGAGCTATGAGTGCCCAGATTTATTTCTTAGCTACTCAACGCAGAACTCTGGTACAAAGACAAAAGACATATAATCACTGCCCCCAAGAAGCTCCAAATCTAGTAAGGGATACAGATCTAATAGCAATGATATACCACAGTCAGTATGTTACTACAGATATGTATTTATCTTTTCTGTTTTTGGAATTCAAAACTGGACAAAAGACATGAATAGACATTTTTGCAAAAAGGAAATACAAATGCTAAGTACACAAAAAGATGCTCAATATCACTAATTTATAGGGAAATGTGAATCAAAGCCACTTTATACTCATTACAACAGTTGCTCTAAAAAGTGAAAATTTTATTAAAAAAACAGAAAATAGCAGGTATTGGTGAGGATGTGGGTAAATTGGAGTTCACATGCTGGTGGGAATGTAAAATGGTATAGTTACTGTGGAAAACACATGACAGTTCCTCAAAAAATTAGACATAGAACTACTGTTTCTTCCAGCCATTCCACTCCTCGATATACACACAAAAGAATGGAAAGCAGGGACCTGAACAAAGCTTTGTATACTTATATTCACGGAAGCATTATTCACAACAGCCAAAAGGTAGAAACGAACCAAACATCTGTCAGTGGATGAATGGATAAATAAAATGCAGTTTACGCATGCAATGGAATATTATTCTGCCTTAAATTCTGACATACGCTACAACATGGATGAATAAACCTGGAAGAAAGTATGCTAAATGAAATAAGCACAAAAGGATAAATATTTCAGGGTCCTGGGGCAGCACCTGTGGCTCAAAGGAGTAAGGTGCTGGCCCCATATGCCAGAGGTGGCGAGTTCAAACCCAGCCCTGGCCAAAAACTGCAGGAAAAAAAAAAAATTTCATGGTCCAAATTAAGTGAGGTACCTAGAATAGTCAAATTCATAGAGACAGAAAGTAAAAAGGTAGATATCATGGATGAGAGAAGAGGGGAATATGGAGTTGTTTCTTAATGGGTACAGAGGGTCAGTTTGAGATGATAAAAAAGTTCTATAGATAGTGGTGATGGGTACAGAACAATGCGAAAGCACTTGTTGCCACTGAACTATACACATAAAAATAGTTAAAATGTGTTATATTTTATCACAGTAAAAAATTAAAATTGCAAACTTTCCAGAATCTTAGGATTCAACAGGCAATCATTTGTACTAAAGTGTGTCTATGTAGTTTGGTACTAAGATACTTGGGGGGGGGGCTGTTATTTGTTTAGTTCCGTGTTCATCTCTCTTTTCTTTTTTTACATTTTTTATGGAAAGTTTTGAACATCGACAAAAAAAGCAATAATAGTGTTTCTGTCATCTAGGTAAAACAATTATCAGTTCAAAATCAATGTTTATTCTCTGCTTCTGCTCCCTGCTGTCTCTTAATGTATTTTGAAGCTAATCATAGATATCTTAATTCATTTCATGTGGAAATATTTTAAGAGGACTCTTTTCAAAGATAACCATAATAACCACACCTGTAAGAATAACCATATTTGGCTGGTGTGGTGACTTACGCCTGTAATCCTACTACTCTGGGAGGTCAGGGTGGGAGGATCCCTTGAGGTCAGAAGCTCAAGATCAGCCTGAGCAAAGCAATACCCTATCTCCACTAAAAATAGAAAAAACAGAACCTTCTCTGAAGGTGATAAATTAATGGCCAACAAACACATGAAAAAATGCTCATTGTCCTTATGAGAGAAATGCAAATCAAAACCATCTTGAGATATCACCTAACCCCAGTAAGAACAGCCCATATCACAAAGTCCCAAAGCTGCAGATGCTGGCAAGGGTGTGGAGAAAAGGGAACACTTACACACTGTTGGTAGGACTACAAACTAATACAGCCTCTTTGGAAAGAAGTATGGAGAATTCTCGAAAAACTAAAATAAATCTTCCATTTGATCCCCCAATCCCATTACTAGGTGTCTACCCAGAAGAAAAAAAAAATCATTTTATCATAAAAACATATGCACCAGAATGTTTATCACAGCTCAATTCACAACCACCAAGAGGTGGAATCAACCCAAGAGCCTATCTACACATGAATGCATTAATGAACTGTAGTATATGTATACCATGGAATACTAGTCAGCCATAAAAATGGAGACTTTACATCTTTTGCATTAACCTGGATGGAGTTAGAGAACATTCTACTTTGGTAAAGTATCACAAGAATGGAAAAGCAAGAATCCAAAGTACTCAATACTCATATGAAACTTGTAGATGAATACACACACACACAAACACAATTAAACTCAAGTGGGGGGAGGGTGGGGGACTGGTGTGCTCTCACCTAACGGACACAATGTAAGGGTATACAGCACACCTTCTGTGAGGTCAGGGGTACACTACAACTTGAACTCTACCTAATGATCACAAACAATGTAACCTAATCATCTGTACCCTCATATTAATCTGAAATAAAAATAATAATTTTTTTGAGAGAGAGGGTCTTACTTTGTTGCCCTTGGTTAACTATGATGCCCCAGCATCATAGTTCAGAGCAACCTCTAACTCTTGGGCTCAAGCGGTCCTCTTGCCTTAGCCTCCCAAGTAGCTGGAACTACAAGTGCCTGCTACAATACCCGACTATTTTTAAGAGATAAGGTCTCACTCTAGTTCAGGCTGGTCTCAAACTCATGAGGTCAGGTGATCTGCCCACCTCAGCCTCCCAAAGCACTGGGATTACAGGAATAATAATATTGTTTTAAAAAATCAGCTGGGCATGGTGATATACATGTGTACTTCCAGCTATTTGGGAGGCAGAGGCAGGAAGATTGCTTGAACTCAGGAGTTTGAGATTGCTATGAGCTAGCCTGAGGCCATGGCACTTTAGCCCAGGCAACAGAGCTAGACTCTGTCTCAAAAATAAATAAATAACCATAATTATCACATTTAAAAACATGTATCATTCCTTAATAGACTTACAGTCTATAGTAAGCAGCCTCTAAAATAGCTCCTGATAAAAAACTGGAATTGGAGTGTTCCTCATAGAAAGAAACGTTAAATATCTGAGGTAATGGATACCTCAATTACCCTTATTAAATTAATTCACATTGTATGCCTGTATCAAAACATCACATGTACTCTATAAAGATATGTAACAATTATACATCCACAATTATTAAAATTTTTTAAAATAGCTTATGTTATCTTTTTATACATCTCCTGCTTCAGACCTAGAACCCATCATTTCCCATGAAGCCCTGGTTCCTTTTAATGGGATACTATACTTAGAGTTCACAATACTAATAGTATCATTAACAATATGATTACTGAAGAAAGTTATGTTCTTAACGTATATCTTGTTTGGCATGTAGAGATAAATTCTATGAAAAACACATAAAATAGGCTCGGCGCCTATAGCTCAACCGACTAAGGTGCCAGCCACGTACACCTAAGGTGGCAGGTTTGAATCCCCAGCCCAGACCCGCCAAACAACAATGATGGCTGCAACCAAAAAATAGCCGGGCGTTGTGGCGGGCGCCTGTGGTCCCAGCTACTTGGGAGGCAGAGGCAGGAGACTCGCTTGAGCCCAGGAGTTGGAAGTTGCTGTGAGTGTGATGCCATGGCACTCTACCCAGGGAGACAGCTTGAGGCTCTGTCTCAAAAAAAACAAAAAAACAAAAAAAAACACAGAAAATAATTCCCTTTCATGTAAATATTCTGCCAAATCAATATATAATTAGGTTTACTTCTTTCATCCAGCTTTTGGTTTTTAGCAATTTTTTTTCCATGTTCATTTAATTTTATAATTATGTAAAATTTACGTCATTCTAATGAGAAATGAAGAAAATAAGATTTAAGATGTCTAGCTTCTATCCCTGTACCTTTGCCTACCTTTTCTCTCCCTCATTTTAAAACATTTTATGGTTTATCCTTCCAATTTTTTTAAAATATAAGAAATATGACAGTGTTAACAATTTTTCTATTTTTAATTGTTTAAATGATAATGTTTGGGCTTTATTGAGTTAACTAAAATATATTATTAAATTTAATGTCACTTGTTTCTTAAAAAAAAAATGTGTGCTCACACACATCCCTTCATCCCTTAGAGTAACATTCTATACATATGTTTCTCTATTTTCTTTTTCCCTTAATATATCTAGATTCATCATTCTACAGATAGAGATACCCCTTCTTCCTTTTAACTAATTCATAGTACCCCATTATGTGAATCCTTAGACAGTTTTAAAAGAC